GCTTTAGTGGAAAAAGTACTAAGTATAAATTGGATTACTCTTTCAATGTTCTGCCTATAGATTTTTTCCAATCGACTGCTTCATAGGAAATACCCAAAACTCCACTGAATTTCAAATTAATTTCTTCGTAGATTGTTTTTAAAATTTTAGATATTTATCAAACCTTAACCTCCCAAATATGCACGTTAAAGTAACGCGAACTAACAGCGTCTAGGAATTTGAATGAAACCTGTCGGATAATTTATTGGGGCTGTTATAACGCGTCTTCCTCAATGTAGCCTTTATCGCCCACCCCTTAACCACCTTTATCTAGAGACGAGGCGCGTTAGATTAGAGCAACATCCAGCCGACACACTGGGGTTAAAATAGGAAACTAAAATGATACATATGACACACTCATATCCTCTCTCCCACCTCACTTCCTCACTTCGTTAACTTTGCGTATACTTGATGAGGTCCGTAAAAAACGTGTGAAATTTCTTTTCATTCTTCATTTCAGCTTTTGGAAGTAAAGTCTGATGATCCAGAACCCTGTTAAAGGGGTTATGGTGAAATAGCTTATTACATGGAATCTTAACGTGGTCTGTCTTTTATTCAAACAAAATATATATATATATATATATATATATATATATATATATATATATAGTTTATGAAAACTAGGTAATCCGTATGGGTAAACCTAAGGAGGATAAAATCCAGAGAGCTCAATGTAAATCCAGAGCAAATAATTTAAATAAAAACAGACCACTTTAAGGTTCCATGTAATAAATTATTTCACCACAGCCCTTTTAAAAGGACTGCAGATCATCAGACTTTACTTCCAAACAAAAAATGAAGAGAAAATTTACACATTTTTGACGGGCCGTATTAAACATATGTAAATTAATGAAATGGGGAAGTGAGTGGGGAGAAAGAGAAGACATGAGTTAGTTAGCAGATATTGACACATTTATTTGTGGGGGGGGGAGAGTATACACGCCCAAGGTGGGTATCAATAAGTCTGTATATGAAGATTTCTTTAAGTTTCCACTGTACGAGGTTCTGGGGCCAATCGCGGTAGAGGGTTACGTTCAGAGGCAGTTTATACGGATAGGAGACGGAGATTACGGTTAATCGCTTTACATGTGTGTTGGTGGTGGGGGACTAGCAGGCAGTAAAACAAACACATCCACATGGGTTGCATGCATAAATAACCTATATTCAATCATCTGAAGATACTCACATAACATTACTTTTCATTATGTCATCGAGAGATCCTCGCCAAAGGCAACTGTACGGCCCAGAAACCATTCACAAAATGGCTCTCCAATAGCCCAGATATTACACACCTGCTGATAGGATAGCCTCCTTCGAAATTACTTTGTTCAGGTCCCTGGCCATCAGGCGGATGACGCCAAAACGAAGAAAATGTCTTTCTACACAACCCTAAATTAAGCACTAAATAGCCCGGGAAATAAGATACAGACTTCATACTCGGAATGGACATGTCTCGTCGGCCCAGAGGGCAAGGCAACAGTTTTAATTTAAAATTTTCTCTGTGTAATGTTTGTTTTTATATATTTCTATTTGAGTAATCCAGCTGAGTGAAATGCAATAACAAAAATGTCCATATGCTTAAAATAAATATTTCTTATATAAAATAAACGTTTTATATAGATTAGGCAACAGGCATATACCTTCCTTTCAGGTCGACCTTGTTCAAATTGTTGATCACACTAGATAACAGGCTCTTTCCCAGAAACTGTAACGAAGGTCTGCTCAGCATAGTTCCTATACAAACCACAGGTGGGCTCTGTGGGTGCCTGAGCAAGCGTCTGCAATAGGGATTAGCTAATATCCCGATATATATATATATATATGTGTGTGTGTGTGTGTGTGTGTGTGTGTGTGTGTGTTTGTACAAAATTGCAATCTTAATTAAAAAATGAAACCATTATGTTTAAACAGCTGAGATTATTTTTTCAGAATATGATATGAATTTTTCTTTTTTAATCAAAATAAATTAGAAGTTTGGAAACATTGTCTACAGATATATATATTATAATATATATATATATATATATACAGAGAGGGAGGGAGAGAAATATCATTTGTAAGTCTGTGTGTGTGTGTGTGTGTGTGTGTGTGTGTGTGTGTGTGTGTGTGTGTGTGTGTGTGTGTGTGTGTGCGTGCGTTTTGCAGTTCTTATTACTGATCATATCGTTCTTAAATATTTTATTATTTTCATCTTCATTGATAATTGCTTAGGTATGTTTCCCGAATGAACCCAATTTTCAAATGGCGTCTCAAAATGTTTCGTTCAAGTATGAACAGACAAAAACATAACGATAGATTCACAGAAGTAAAGGCTGATACTGAATATTTCTAACGAGACGAAGAAATGTTTATAGCGTGATTTTCAATTCTCTTGGTCTAGACGCCATTTTCTTTTTTCTTTTTTTTTTACTCCTGTTTTATTTTTCAACAATATTAAATATTTCTTTTTGAACGTAGCTAATTACATTTTGAAAAATCATTTAGTTAAATGAGAGCGTGTCCGCGTAGTTAAAAATTTCACTTACCGACCATGAGAATCGGGTTCGAATCTCAAGATGGTCGATTTGTAAGCATTTTGACTTTTTTTTTTAATGTTATCGAATTGCGGAAGTGATTCTTGCATGTGGTACCGTTGGAAAGTGTCTGAAAAAGCATAACACAGATTGACCCAAGCGTTATGTTGTGTTAAATAGGAATAAAGTGTCGCTGCCGACAATTGAGTTGTTCGTCGTGGTCAGGCGTACGTACGCATATATATATATATATATATATATATATATATATATATATATATATATGGGGGAAGAGTATACACGCCCAAGGGGGTATCAATAAATCTGACCCCATTATTGAATTAAGTAGTCAACATGACTATAGAGGAACCGCATAAGTAGGCCATTGCGTGACGTCTAATTTCTGTACTATTTACTATCCTATTCCTCCATACGGATTACTATTCGATGGTTACTCTTCGAGCGAGTATTATCGAGCAAGTACTATTAGTGTAAGTATTATTCGAAGGCGTCTGACACCAGCATTTTTCAACGGCGGTAATATAGTTGTGTCTGCCATTACGAAGTCGTTACTGCAACGAGAATTACGAAAGTGACAACGAGTATTCGTTGACATCACAAAATGTTGAAAGTTCCTGAAAACAATGTCATTCTACGAGGAATGTTCCTGAAAATCATACAAGTAGACCTAAGCCTTGCGAGGAAAGTTCCTGAAAACCATACAAATAGACTCAAGTCTTGTGGGAAAAGATCCTGAAAACCATACCACAAATAGACCCAAGCCTTGTGGGATAAAATCCTGAAAACCATACCACAAGTAGACCCAAGCCTTTCGAGGAACGTTCCCGAAAAACTTTATACAAGTAGACGCAAACCTTGTGAGAAAAGACCCTGAAAACCATACCTCAAGTAGACCCAAGCCTTGTGAGGAAACTTCCTGAGAATCATACAAGTAGACCCAAGCCTTATGAGAAAAGATCCTGAAAACCAAACCGCAAGTTGACACAAACCTTGCGAGGAAAGTGACTGAAAACTATATCACAGGTTTACCCAAGCCTTGCGAAGAAAGTGCCTGAAAATTGTACCACAGGCTGATCCAGGCCGCCTGAAAATCATGCCAAAGATAGACCCTATTCTTGTGAGGAAAGTGCCTGAAAAGCATACCAAACTTTGTTGACCCAAGCCTTTTGGCCTAAGTCCCGAGTCAACTTTTCCGCCCTTCCTGGACTTGCTCAAACTGTTGCAGACGCTCTCTCCCAGAAACTGTAACTAAATTACGCACAACATAGTTGGAGTATAAAACACAAGTGGACTGTGAGGGTATTGACCAAACACAAATGTGCCTGAGCAAATGTCTGCGACAGGGATTGGATAGTCGCCCTCGGTGATGGGTGATCTTGGAGACGAGTAGCCTTGCCTTTATTATTCATCCATTATCTGTGCAACAATTTTCTTTGTTTAAAAAAAAAGTAAAAACCAAATTTAGAACTGTTCGTCTTTGTCAAAACAAAAAGAGATAAAAGTGAAATTTATGCCGGCCATGGATATTTATGGGTGTTCGCCTTTATGGTCTTTTTTCCTTCGTTTTTATTGATGTTATTATCGGTCCGGGTTTCCTAAATAAGTTTATGAAAGAAAGCTTAATAATAAATATGACCAAGTTTTCTGGCAAATAAATTTCATTAGAAATATTTTATGCTCGTGTGAAACTGAAATAGACAAAATATTTTACTGATATTTTGTGCTGTATTCACGCTTTTCTGCCCTTAAATATTCCAGTGTTATTGTTTCCAAAGTTGTTTGTGTCTGTCATATTGGTGCCCATATGGCGCAACGCTGATCCATTACGTCCTCCGCTTAACTTTAACCTATTTTTTCTATGATAAATGAAATCTTTCTAGTAAGGAAGGGTATAAATTTACAATTACTGACCTAAAATTGGCTTACCAATTTCGGCACTTAGTCTGAATACTGTTCGTTAAAATATAAGAAAATGCTATTTTTTGGAGGGTCAGAAATTAATTTCAAATTTGCGTTACTGAATGCGCTTGTGTAAAGCAAATACAACTGCCAGCAGAATTATATTTTTTTCCTTCATTACCATCCCACCCCCCGGCACGTTTATTATCTTTCAAATAATTTTCTGTGCGGCACGATTACTTGCTTGTAGTTATTCAACTTACATAAATCATTTCAGTAAGATACATGCATAAATAGATCATTTAAATGTTTATAAATAGATAATTTTAAGCAACATATGTTTGTAGATAGTAGAATAGGTTTAAAAATCCAGAAATAAACCTTCAAGACGCCTTTATACATCATAAGATATTCTTGTGTACCAAATACACGTACCTAGGTAATTAAATTATGCCCTTCATCTCAAATACGTACGGCACGGTATTTATTTGGTATGGCACGCTCGGGAATTTCGTTTCATTTGCAGGCTTACGGCCACATCACGTTGAAACAACAGTTCCAGTACGATCGCCAAAGTTAAGTAACGTCGAGCCCAGTCAGTAACTAGATGGGTGACCGCTTGCGAATACCAGGTGCTGTAAGCTTGGAAGTGAGGGTGGTGTACTGGATAATAGCTTAGAATTGTTAATAGGAGAGTCGAGTTCTAATTCTCAAGGTGTTCGGTATATTCACTTATACGCAAATCTTCTTGGTAAAGTAATAAATCCAACTCATAATTACTAGACCTTTTATCAGTAAATTATTATTATCTCCAAAATATAAGTACAATCTAATTCATTGATACCTTCGTCAAATTCGACTCGCATGAAAAATAGGGCATGCACTGATTTGGGCTCGTCTCTGTCCGCGGCTTCGAGGCTGAAAATAGTCAGTCAGTTAGTTATGTGCTGTGCGTGATACACGCTTAAGCGATCATGCATCTTTCGATAGATGACTGACGAGGCAGATTTTCCCCGCAGTAGGTTGCCATTCCTTTCTGCGGTAGACTGTTGAAATTTAGCTTAGTAACAGCCAAACCGACGCAAAAAAGGTTGGGAAACTTTGTCATTACGTCCAGTGACGGGAATCCTGCGTAACACAGTTAACAGAGACCTGAAACCATCAATATACAACCATAACAAGCGAGATAAAGAAGAAGGAAAAACCACTTGAAATAGCTATAAAATTTATTGAGGGAAAAGAAAAAAATAAAATGAAGGGGGAAAATAGATTGCTGTTAAAGTTCACTGGTACAACTTGAAAATAACTGCCAAAAACGTCCCTTTGGCGAGCCCTTAAAAAGGACTCCAATAACACTTCAGAGAGAGTGAAAGAGGTAGAGAGATACCAGAAAGAGGGGAAAAAATTAGACTTACTATTCAAAAAAAAAAGAAAGCTTTAGTATTTTTTTTTAAGTAGCTGTGCAGAAAGGTTTTTAGATATTTTTTTGAGTTGCCCTCCTTGGAAGATAAGCAAGCTTCCTGTTAAAAATAAATGCAGACTTGTTTTTTCAAACTTTCTCTGCGACACAAATTCAACTTCAAGAGACGACTTAGAAGATCTTTTTTCACATACTTTTTTTCACGTCAGAATTTCGTCCACCAATAGGACAAAATAACTCCTCGAAGGAAGGTAGCTTTTCAATCGCTTAATTTTGACTTTTTTCTCTCTTCGACCCGATTGTCGAAAGAAGACTTCCTTGAGAATGTTCTATTGTAAATTCTTTTTACAATAATTTCTTTAACTGATTTTTTAGATAAGTCTTTACTGACTTGTTCTTTGGTTGCTGAACAATAATCCACTTGATTACTAGAACAGACTTGACTTCACTTGTCTAGAGAACAAGCTTTTTCCACACGGCGAACACACTTGTTCTTTATCTTCAATTCTCTTAGACAAATATTCTTGACTGGTCTTTTATGACCGTTTTCTTTGTCAGAGCAACAACAGGTTATCTTCAAGCAGGTTTCCTTTTCGTCGCAAGACAAGACGACTTATCGTCTCCACACTGCGGAGCCCTTTTTCTGCTACTACTGACCAGATTCCTCTAATCTAGTCGAAAACAGGCGGGAAAATCACGTACGACCAATCGTTAGACACGATTTCGCCACGTGACGCAGCAGTTCTTACACTGCACACAAGGGGAAAAGAAGAGGAGGAAGGAAAGTAAGAGAGATAGAAAGATAGATACAGAAATTAAATTTCTGACAAGACCATTTGCCTTGGAGGGCATAACTGGGAGGATAAGAAAAGGATTGATACCTTTCCCAAAGGTATTAGTATGTAAGTGAATGTAATGGATTCGACGAGTTCGAACTCGGTTCAATTCGAACCGCCATCGAATTACTCCACCGTGCCTCTATAGAGTACGTCCTCTTTTTACTTACTCTTTTTCTCTCCTTCTTTTCTTTTTACTGCATCACTTGGTCTCTGACCTACTACGTGTGTGTGTGTGTGCGCGCGCGCGCACGTGTGTGTGTGTGTGTGTGTGTGTGTGTGTGTGTGTGTGTGTTACCTGCTCCAATGAGATTAAAGAATTTTCTTTTCGATTTTTTCAGAGCTCAGGCGTCAATCCACTATAAAGATGAAACTGACATAGTAAAGATTTCCCCAGCCAGAAGACACGGATGCATTAACATCAGAACAATACGGCAACAACGACAAATAAAATAACTGCTTAGGCGGTCATTTATAGATTTCACAGTAGATCAGAACATCTTGAATCGAGGTTTCATTATGTTTGCACCGATTATATTCCACTGTAGTTTTTTTTCTCTCTATTTCTTTAAAAATATCGGCTTTTTTTTTCTCGCCATTGTCTCATATCGATATTATTTGCAAAATTACCGTTGGAAACTATTCTCAAAATGCTACCTTCCACACCAGTTTTCTTTTCAAATGTTATTAAAAATCGGCCATCTTCATTAATGATTTGCTTATCTCCCTTTAAGGAATTCCGTCGTATATCATTGTCATTATAATAGTAAGTTCAAACCAGAACTAGCCATCGCCCGGAGATCAAGAGGCAGATAATATACACAAATATGATAACTATGTTATTGATGTATAGATAATTCATGGATTTGTATGTTCATAAAGATTTCCTGTAGGCTATCGTTTCAGGAAAATGACCAAATCTGGTGAGTTGAGACGAAGACTAAGTGACAACAATTCTCTTTAAATCTCTTGTGGTTACTGATGCAGACTGATTCCAAAATGTCTAGTGTTTACGGATGAAGACTGGGTGGCCATAAGTCTACTATTATCTAGATGGAGACTCAGAGACAGCAAATCTCTTCGAATCTCTTTCGGTTACGAAGTTGCCTGAAATTTTCCATGAATACGGGGTGGAATCTGACAGAGAGCAAAAACCATCTGAAGGTGACGAGTGGCGATCGTATGGCAGCAGGTTTCCTCAAGTCTCTGGTGATTTCGAATAGAAACTTCAGTGAGAGCAAGTAATCTCAAACCTCTTGGACTGACGGACGGACCTCATTGACTGCAGGTCTTCACAGATCTGGAGGTGACGGATGTAGACAAAGTGAGAACAATCTCCTCAAATCTGTCATTACGGATGGAGACTGTATGTGAGTAATTCTACGAAAACCTATGGTGACGAATGAAGATTGTGGGACAGTCTTGTCAAAACTCAGGACCTTACGGAGAAAGGCTGAGTGACAGCAAGTCTCCTCAAATCTCGGTGGGGATTATGGATAGAGATTGAGTGCGAGCATTCTCCCCTGATTATAGATGGAAACTGGATATGAACAAATCTACGAAAACGTTTGGAGATGACGAATAGAGATTGTGTGAGAGTCTCGTCAAATCTCAGAAGATTACGGAGAGGGAACTGAGTGAAAGCAAGTTGCCTCAAATCTCGGGGTGGGGTAGAGGTTATAAGCGGAGATTTAGTGTGAGCTAGTCTCCTAAAATCTCTGATTACCTATGGAGACTGGATGTGAGCAAAAGTAGAAAATGAAGGTGACAAATGGAGATTGTGTGACAGTCTCGTCACATCTCAGAAGGAGAGGGACCGAATGATATCAAGTCTCCTCACACCTTGAGGTGGGAGGTATGGATGGACATTGAGTGTAGGCAACTCTCTTCAATCTCCATAGGTTACGGTATGAAATTGACTGGCTGCAGGTCTTATATCCTTCAGGCCACCGATGAAATAAGAACCATTAGAACCAAATAGTAACAATAGAAATTAATCTCAGAAGCGATTACTATAGAATCGTGTAATCACCTTTTGATTATTATTACCAAAAAGAAATAATATTTTTTTTAATCATTTCACCCCAAGAAAGGCAATAGCGTCCCTAAGACGTATGTGGTTACTAAGTGTTAGAGACAATGAGGGAAAATACTCTTAATGAGAAAGTACAATAAAAGAAGATTAATTTAGAAAACAGGAGATGACGATTGGCATTGCATCTAAACTTTGGAAGATCGAAGTTGACTGGAAAGCAAGATTACGGAAGAGAGTTCCTCAGGCGAAAATTGAGCGAGGATAATAAACGAGTAATCAGGAAGACAGTAGATAACGATTGAAAATGCATTTAAAATTTTGAAGATCAAAGCTGAGTGAAAAGCAAGAAGCCGGGAGGGGGTCCCACTATGAAGAACTTTAATGCAACAAGCTGTTAGCATAGAACTTTTAGTTACATCGTGCCATTTGCAACTGTTACGACTCTGCTGCCAATTTACTACTGCACTTAAATTCATAAGGTCTAGGTACAATAGCAGATACATAATCAGAACAATTACCATGAAAGTATTTATAGAAAAGGCACAGAGAAGCTACATTATGGCGTCGAGAAAGGGACTGAAACCGGGATAGCAGATCAGGACCAATAACATTGCAGTTTCTTTTGGGATTGTATAAAAAATCTCAAAATATATAGCAGGAGTACTAGACTAGATGTGGCAGCAATATTCACAGCATGGTCGAATGGTAAATATGAACGCTAGACTCTGGCATGAAAAATTGTCTAGCACGACACAAAAGACTCATTTTGTTGGCAGCGGATCTAGCAAATGATTCAATATGAAATTTCCACTTCATCTCACCGGAAATCGTTTGTCGGAGAAGGTGCAATGAGTCACTCTCCTGGAGATTAACATCTGCTTCGCCTACGGTAGATAAAAAATGGTTCTCTCACACGATTAATAAAGAGAATTTTCGTTTTGGATGCGTTAAAATTAACAAGCCATTTCTTGCTCCATTTAACAACAGACTGTAGGCCATTTTTGAGATGAGTTGCCAATCTGATCTTATCGAACTGCTCATACTTATTATTAAGACAGGAATAAATTGTTGCGTCATCGGCATAAATACTGATTTGTGAACTGATGTGATGTCATTTATGAAAATTAGAAACAACGTAAATCCAAGGGTAGAAACCTGAGGAGCGCTTGCATTAATGGAAAAAGATCTAGAAAAGTGGCCATTCAAGTGGATAAAGGCGTTGGTTAGATCCAGTGACAGACCCAAAGAAGGTGAGTTCAATACCTGGTTAAGGCAGTGGAGAACTTTCAGAGGGAAAAATTAATTCGTTAACTGATAACTGACATCCATCAAACATGGCACGTGGAACTAA